ACAAACTTATTTAATCCACTCTTACTAAACCAAAATACATACTATCCGATATCCGTCCCATTTTATAACAAATTTTTTTTCCGAAGAGTCTGCTCTAACATAAAAAGATCGTGGTTTTTTGTAACCAATTTCCAATCTTCCGCACCATCAGGCCATTGAATAGTTTTACGATTCATAAAGGGAGAATAACATGCAGAACCAACCTTTCCAGACCATTCAAAATCGATCAACTTCACATCAAATTCATTACCTTCAAGTTGATGAACCAGAATATTCCCTTCACGCAAGTCTCCATGAACGTATCCTAAATTATGCAAATATTCGACTATCCCTTTTATTTTTTTTCTCAGTGAACTTCGTTTTTGATCGTCAAGGTTAGAGGTAATGTTATTTAATATTGAATGATTGTTCAGGCATTTCATATAAACTAAAATCCAATTTCCGGGAATTATTGAAGTAGTATAGACTTCTGGAGCGTATCCAACTTCAGCTAAGAGCTTATGTGTATCAAGTGAATATCGATGTTTTTGAACAGCTTTCACATAGGCTGTAAAATGAGGCCCTTGTTCATTTAAAAGTGTAACTTCCCAAAGAAGATTTGTGCTAACTTGGGAATCAATTTGAACCATGTATGATTTAGCGTCTATAATCACTTCCGGAAATGAAGGATGCACGGGATGGACAGTTTGAGGTTCGTCTTGAATTAATTCATCAACATTAGCATAATATTGATCGAGAAGTCGGAGAGATATCTTCAAAGCACGAAATGTTTTTGCAATTGATACCATCATCGCTTCGTCATATTTTTGCCAAATAAGAGGAAAGACTGGAGTGAGCGGGTCAACTATAGCAACATCTGCAAACACAGCACCAGAAACAGAAAAGTAAGGTCCTAGAAAAGTAAAGTTAGTCGCAAATTCTGACAAAGACATATCAACTAAATTTATTACTTACCAGAAATTACAATCAAAAAGCATGGAAAATTAGTCACATGGTAGGAGGAATGTTCTTTTTTTTCCGCGCAAAAAACTAAATAATATCCACAATTTTCAAGGTAGGGACAGGCATCGGAGCTACAGTTATGCCTCTTGTATTCCACATTAACCTCACGATATGCGTTAGAGCCATCACCATAACATACAGTACCATCAGTTCGACAATTATCTTCAGTCACAATTGGTTGTACAGAGCGTTTGAGATATCCAGATAGCATTTTATTTGCCTTAGTTTGACGCTCCGATTCGTAATTATAATGTTTTGCCATTTCAAAACAAAAATCATAAGCGAAAAGATTATCTTCGCTTTCTGAAAGCTCATCACATAAATCCTTAAATTTTCCAAAAACCGAACAAAGCAAGCTAACAGGGACGGAACTAGAAGCTGTTGGGGGGCAGTGATTAAGACAAATAGCATCAACAGCATTAGTTTTCTGTCGTTTGTACCATTCCTCAGGTTCCCCGAGTTTTGATGGTGCTGGTAAGGAATTTATCATATCAAAGTATGATCTTTTAACTGTAAAAAGAGATTGCATTAGTTCAGTTTATTTATGATTTACAGATAAACTAAATTTTTATTGTAACTTTCTTCTTTCCTGAAATTATAATCGGATTATCGGCCGAACATTTTTGTTTTTCAATGTAATCGATAAAGACGCTTTTCGACCAGCTAAGATCTATAAGCTTATCGCTAATTGAAAACTTATAAGTAGTCAACGAGCCCCTGAGATCGAAGGCTTCTTTTAAAAGAGCATATAACCGAGTAAAATCCTCCCAACCTTCGGAACTAAGACGTATGGTTTCTGAATCAAAGTGTCGGAAGTATATAGAAACTAAAAAAAAATTCGTTAGTCAATACAAACAATATACCAAACGTTCATGGCGAAATGAAGAAAAATATTAATAGATATTCATGACTCTTACCTTCCTCTTTAACCTTAGACGCCTGTAATATTGCTAGC